CTTACAGAGTATTTTTCTTTAAAAATTTGGTTACATGCCAACAATTGTTCAAAATAAACATGATTGTCCTACCTTACTGATGAGAGTCAACCTTAACAGATGATATCTACTGTTGCACTCCTTATTTAATTTGTCTCCACTTTTACCTACATGTGGAAACAACACAGCTAAGTATTTACTTAGTGAGACATAATACTATAAAGATAGCACAATTTATACATAAGTATTTTATGACTATTGAATGATGAATTAAATTTCATAAACCATAAGGACCCGATAAGCCTTTCTCAGTTAAACCATAATTCTTTCATACAATTATCAGAATTATTCTTAGTAGACCCAACATACTTATCATTCTGTATATTTTTCCCCATTATTCTTTTTTGCCCTTTGTACATCAAATGAGAACTTACTATACATGCATTGCACCATAGTGCCAATTGATCATGTATCTTTTATAATCATCATGAGTTGTACCTTAAATATTGTTAACACACCATTTTGTATTTTTCATTTTGTGACATCCTTTCACGCTCATTATGTACTATTTACGTTTATCCTTTATTACATTCATCTTACCAATTAAGCATTGATGTACATTATATATATATATATATATATATATATAACATCCTTTCATACCACTTATGCACCATTTATATCAAAATGCATTATAATTACTTTAGTCTTTTATCCAAAGGCATTTAGCCTTTCATCTAACTTGCATGATTGACACATTTTTGCCAAATACACAACTAAGCCATTAATCTTTTACTTTTAAACAGATCCTACTCTAATAATTAGACATATTATCAATTAACTATTTAATTTCATTATAAATTCTATAGTTTACACCTGTATTGCCAAAACAGTCATTCCCCAAACATTTCTATAATTTACATGGGTTGCACACCCACTACCAATACGAAAATTCATAAACTTATTATGAATTTATTAGTTTTTGAACTAATTCGCATCATCTATAAGGATTAAATAAGTCTCTATTATTGAAACCAAACTTCTTTTATAATTCTCATCATAAACATCCTTAGTATGTCCAAAATACCTTTCTTTATTATACATTTTTTTTATTTTTCTGTAGTAATTATTCGTTAAATTTCATTTTATTTATGACATCATTTCATGCCTTAATACATCATTTCATGCATTTTATATTTATGGTATCCTTTCATGCCTTAATGCATCCTTTCATGCCTTAATGCATCTTTTCATGCATTTTATTTATGACATCCTTTCATGCATTTTATTTATGACATCCTTTCATGCATTTTATTTATGTATTCGGTTTAGAGCAGTTCATACTCTAAAACTCATTCATAATACTCTTTCCATACATATAATAAATAACATAGTCAATACTGTAGAACATACATTAATTTAAACGTTCTAATTTGAATCAGTATAAATCTTCTTCATCTCAAATAATTACAATAATGTACTCACCTAGATTGCCTTGCTATTATATCCAAAACGCAAAGTTGATTAATTAGGTACTTTACCTTTGCCTTTTGTTTTGCTCGACTCGGGAGCTTGATTTTGATCTACTCAAGCATCCATAAAGACACATACAATATCAATTGTTAGTATATTTCCTAACAATTATACTTAAACATTACTCAAGAGTACATATTATTATATTTTCTATAACAATTTCAACCTAATTGGCCGTTCCAAGCTCAATAGTATCGATACTACTACCCTAGTACTGATACTTCTATACTATGGTACCGATACCCCCTTTCGGTACCGATACCAATTTTAGATTCGATGTTGCCTGGTATCGATACCCTTACCATGGTATCGATACTGATTCAATCAGTATCGTTACTACACAACTAATTCATCCCATTTTAGCCTATAGTATCGGTATTGTTCCATCAGTACCGATACCCTTACCCAGATTTTTCAGTTTTCAACCCAATTATTACATAAATAGGGTCAAATTTCGTTATAATTACAACATACAATACTATTAAACTCTTCTTTACCTATTCATATTGACTTTCCTTCATTTAGTGTCTTAAAACATCTAAAATCTTCCAAGAACATTAATTTCTAAGAATCACACTACTTTTTCTAATATGTTCTTAATCCTATCTAATGCTTCTAATCTCTCATTTACCTCTTTGACAAGTTAAATCTACCAATAAACATCCATAAACACTCATATTTTAACATATCATTTCAAAACTCATTTTCTTAAATCTCTAATATTTCATCCATACCTTTGTTTTAATCCTATTTAACCCTCCCTTTAGCTTATGTATCACTTAAGGTTGTAACAACAACCCATAATCGAAAGGAAAAACTGATTAAATTGAAGTTTACCTTTGGACTATGGAGGGTGGTCCTTGCACGGGAAGAAGAAGAGGAGAAGAGATAACTCTCTTTGTTTCTACTTTCCCCTTTTCTTCCTAAAATCCCTAATAAGGATAAATTTTAAATTCATTTCTCCTTAAAAGACTTAAATACCCTCTATATTCATCTATTGCTACAATTTAATCCAAAACACTATTTTAAATAATTTTCTTATCTTTTACCATTTATTCAAATAAGTCTTCAAATTTCAAATCTTTTCAATATAGTCCATGATCTGATATTTGGGGTATTACATGCGTGGAATCAAATTTAACAACTTCTCATGGAATAAAGGTATTAAAAAAAAACTTGAGAATTTGTATCGATTTTCGAGTCACTTGTGTATATATATGTAATTAAGTTACGACTCTTTTTATGTCATACCCTCTCAAGTGTCTATGTGATGATGATGCAGAAGCAAATATGTTATTCCTGGAATCCCCTGTTGGAGTTGGATTTTCATACTCAAATACTTCTACTGATTACAATATCATAGGAGATGAGTTTACAGGCGAGTTTAACACAAAACATGTTTTTTTCTGTTAAGGTTTTTGTATCTGATTTGTGCTTGTTTCTTCCATGGGGTTACCTACACCAGCAAATGATGCTTACACTTTCCTGCATAAATGGTTCCTCAAGTTTCCCTCATACAGAAAAAAGAACCTTTTATATTGCTGGGGAAAGCTATGCATGTATTAATCTTTAACAAGAACCGTTGGATGGTGTTTTGTCACCTTCCACAGCGTCGAACTCACATGGGGTTCGAATATGCGGAAGGCAAAAAATCTCTGAATTATGCTCTAACGACACAGTCGTGCAGGTTAGGCTAATAGATTGATCCTCAATGGACTTGTTTCTTCACAGGCAAATATGTACCAGAGCTGGCTGAGCTCATTTATGACAACAAGAAGGATCCTTCACTTTATATTGATCTCAAGGGTATTTTGGTATGGTCAATCTGGTCATATTTTTCACAACCTACACTATGGGATTGTTGTTGTTGTTTGCTTAATAAGCTGAAATTTTCTACTTATGAAACAGGTGGGGAACCCAGAAACAAATGATGCTGAGGACTGGAGAGGCATGATGGATTATGCATGGAGTCATGCTGTGATATCTGATGAAACTCACAAAATCATCAGGGAAAGCTGTGATTTCAAGAGCAATGACACATGGAGCAATAAAACTTGTAGCCAATGTGTGGATGAAGTGCTTAAATAGTACAAGGAGATCGATATATACAGCCTATACACACCGGTGTGCATTGCAGACACTGCTGCTAAAGATGACCCATCAATATACCAAGTCATGTTGAAACGAACGTCGTCTAATATGGTGATACATACTCGTGTTCAACACTCACAGTTGAATTAGAGTAACATAATATGTAGTTTTAACATAGTGATTCCATGGATTTTTGCTTTTTAACAGATGCCAAGGGTATTGGGTGGCTTTGATCCTTGCCTTGATGATTATGCAAAAGCTTTCTACAATAGACTGGATGTTCAAAAGGCTCTCCATGTTAGCGATGGACACCATCTCAGGAACTGGAGCATCTGCAAGTAATAACGCTTTACACATATATAGCAATGTTCGAGTTAATTGCACCAGACATCCTCTATCATCAAGATTCCCTAAACTTCAAAACTTTTCAATAATTTAGTCATCTGTAAATGCTAGTTTAAATCTGACATAAATCACATTGGTATTGTTTTTGTCACCTATGCAGCATGAAGCTACTTAATAACTGGACAGATTCAAAACCATCAGTGCTTCCCGTATACGAAAAACTTATTGCTGCAGGAATTAGAATCTGGGTCTACAGGTAAACCCCATGTTTCAAACAGTTCCCATGTGCTATTGTTTTTCTTTTGTCTCATGGTGATTGGTTTTCAGTGGAGACACGGATGGAAGAGTTCCTGTTTTGTCCACCCGTTACTGCATAGATACTTTGGGATTGCCTATAACCAAGGCATGGAGACAATGGTACCATCAAAAACAGGTACTGAAATGACAACAGATAGTTTAACTGGTCTGATTCTATCAAGGTAGCTCTAGTTTTTGTCATGAAATCATGCCATCTTGTCATAAAGAACTTATTAACTAAACCCTAACTAATATAATAAAAACATATATATATTGTTCACCAGCTTCAGTTATCTTTGGTCAGGTAAGAGGCTGGTTCCAAGAGTACAAAGGACTAACGTTTGCAACATTTAGAGGAGCAGGCCATGCAGTGCCTTGCTTCAAACCAAGCAGTTCACTGGCCTTCTTCTCAGCTTTTCTCCTTGGCGAATCCCCACCTTCCTCTCGTTGAAGTTGCTTGATTTTGGTCTTAGTACTAATCTACTGATATATATGCATGTATGAGCAGTGTTGCATGGGAGATGAGTTAAACCCTAAAGTACTGTTTGAATAAAGAGACAGATCCTCTATTTTGACCCCTCTAATCAAAAGTGAATTTCTTCTTAACCATTTTAAATCTGATAAAAAAGAATTCGGGTAATACAACTCTAACACATCGACTAATTTTGGAAGAACATAAAAAAACTTTGTTTCATATTTATTCATACGGACTCAACTATCCAAATAAAATTTTATTCGAATAAGATACTAGTGCTCAAGTAAATATTCTATTTGAATAATCACAACTCTTGATTAAGAATAAAGCGATACAACTTTTAATAACTCACCACGATGCTACAAATATTGTGAAAATTTTCCTTAAGATCCTCCTTCAGCCTCTAACTGGTGTCATAATATACATCTTGCAAGCATGAGCGGCTACATTTGCAGACATTCTGTAACATTTATTAATCGAAACAAACGAATGCTGCAATAAGAACATTAAAAACATGTCACAAATTCAAAAACATCGTCGATCAATCATTAGTTTAAAGTTTAAGCCATTATAAAGAGAACTACGAGGACGAAATCATACGTTCCACAAGTCTCTAACTGCAACCGGACTTGAAGGGGAGAGTCCGATTTCCCTCCATCTGACCGATATAAGTGCTCTAGTTTGGCTTCTATTCCATAACACTACCACCACCCTTTTCCCTGATAAAGGCTCTGCCCATACCTGTATAAGATTAGATGAGAAAAATGTGTGGGAAATGAGAAGTATGAATGCGTTCGATTACCTCTAGGGCCCCGTTGGATCGTATTTTCCTCCCTTGAACACCTAGCGAGTCCTGGTTAACATCGATAACTTCCTTGTTCCCAAGGATACTTAGAGTCCTTTTGCTCGCGGATCGAACATCACATCCGATCAGGAGAGGAGCCTGGCAATGAAAGATTATTAGTATGTAATCACAAGGGATTATGTGCAAGATAGAATTAAGAGGCACACCTTCATAAGAGCCCAAATACTGAAATGAGACCGGTATTCCTCGATGCTCATCCCTCCATTGCCCACTTCCAGCATGTCGGGATCTTATGTGAGTTCGAAATTACAGATTAAATTAATGAAAACATACCGAACATGTGATGAATAAGTATTGAAATAATCACAACAGAGGCAAAAAGTTAGAAAATTGCAGCTACCATTCCACCTGCCAGGTCCAGCATATCTCCCCCAAAGGTTATTCAAATCTGCAATCGATGTGATACTAGAAAAATACGGAAAAAAAATTGGTTAAAAATCAAGCAAAGGATAATCGAGAACCGTAACCTGTTAATCGGCTTAAAGTATATATGAACTAAACCTTGCCCAGGTATCATTGATATCCCCAGTAGTCCTCCAAGTATGACCATAAGAACCAGCCCATTTTGCTGGATCCTCTTTTCCCCTGCAAAAGGACAGTTCTGTTTTGGCAACAATTCTTAAATTTTTGCAGAAAGCTATTGACATAAACTTCATACGCACATACCATTCACATAAGGAGTAAAGTATCGGCCGACCGGCATTTTTCAATGCACGACTCATTGCAGCATATCTTTCACAAACAAAATTATACGTCACATAACAGGATGTTCTTAACTTCGTAATAAACTCAAGCGACGAGTCTACCTCGTTTGAGGTTTCGAACCATCATTATAACAATTGTCGTACTTCAAGTAGTCAATCCCCTGCAAAAAGAAAGCACCCCATTAGCTGGAATCATGCATTAAAGCAAACTATAAAGTTGCAAACTTAAAGATACCAACCCATTCAACAAAAGTTTTTGCATCCTGATATTCATGCCCAAGTGAGCCAGGCATTTTGTTACTGCAGGTTCGTTTACTGCAGAGATCGAACAAAGTTTTCAAACTCTAGAATGTTTTTTTGTATTAAAATTTGTGCACATAATTAAAATACTCGAGGGAACATTCAGTTACCCTGCATCAGCATATATCCCGAGTTTTAAGCCTTTGGAATGAACATAATCTGCAAGAGCTTTAATGCCGGAAGGAAATGTTGATGCTTTGGCCCTCAAGTTGCCGTTGTTATCTCTTTCTCCCTCAGCCCAACAGTCATCTACATTTGCAAACCATAAGGAAAAATAACCATTAAAGAGAAAAGAAAAACTTGGTTTTGTATTCTTACCGAGATTTACATACTTGTATCCAAGTCCTGCTAAACCGGTTGAAACAATAGCATCCGCTGTCAAAATCAACATTCTTAAGGGACTTACATGTTTGGTTTTTTTAGTTCAAATCCTAAGTTCCTAACACTAAAACAAATTTTATGTCATAACTCGATCCACTCCGGTCGGCTGCATTGTGAGAACAATTCCGGATTATGCTATCATGATGCAGTCTGATAGGTCAGGCCGGGTTGTGGCACATGCAAGGATTCTTTAATTCATTAGAACAGAACGCAATGCAGGATGCAAAATTTTTACTATTTCAACTAACAAATGGACAGCAAGGAATCACAAGATTTTTCGAAAACAATAAACAAATAAACCCAACAACCATATGATAAAGAGAATTTGAGAAAAGAATTTGAAATTCAAAGTCAGTGTATCAAAAAATGAGTGGAGACAAAATGCACCAAGCATACAAATATGAATGCATTCAAAGATCAAACCGAAAATTAATTACTGTAAAGAAAGAACACCGAAAGACTGCAGATTTAAGGATACATACCGTTAGAATATTCAAAGTCAAAAACAAAGAAAAATAGAGTTTTAAAACTATTCTATACATTGTCGGTGTTATTTAAAAACTCCACAAACAGGGTTAAATGAAATGATACCTGGAGTTTAGTGTGTAGTAAATAAATAAAAATTAATTACACATAAAAAGGTGGACATGTGGTTGGTATGGGTTAGCAAAGCTTGACTAAAAAAATATTAAACTTTTCAACTTGACTCTAGGTTAAGAAACTCGACTAAAATATAAAATAAGATATCGATTAACTCAAAGTCTTTTTATTCGACTTGACTCTATTGATTATTAACCCCTAGTGATTGGAATGACAGATCTTGACAAAACAAGTAATGGATAAGCATGTATGATCCAAGATCCTTATCTCTCTTAATAAAAAATTTATAATCAATCATTACACACACTAAACAGATAAATTAATTAGAGATCTCATGTTTTATATGGGAGAAGATTCCACTCATGGGACTTTCCTAACTCTGTCAATGCCTCCTTGGCAATAATAAAATTGTTAAACAAATAAAACCTTTAATATATGCATCTACCAATATAGACTTAATTAATTCAATGCTCATCAGATTCCATCCAAATTTCTTTAAAAAAGTAAAAAGAGTTCAAATTTAGGTATTGAAGATAAAGTCCAACAAGGTACTTGAAGGTGAAATCTGGGTTTATTTAATGAAAATGAAAATGACAGCAGAGTAAACAATGATATCAATGTGACCATTCTCCTTATTGCCATTAATGGTATAACCATTTGATTTCTCCAGCATTAAAAGAACAGATAATCAGTATAATTCAAGAAAGATTACTACTTAATACTTACCGGTACTTTTAATAATCTTCTCATCTATATTACACTGAAAGTGATTCCAACTATTCCATCTGCAACAATGAATACCAGCTTTTTTTTTTTCAAAAACAATTTCAAAGATATAAAAAATTAGAAGAATTAATACCCCATTGGAGGTGTACGGGCAACCCCATCGGTGAGAAGGAACCGAGTGTGAGGTCGATCAGGTGCATGGCTGTTCATTGGACTTGCTTCAGTCACTAGGTGGGCGAGCCTTAGGCTAAACAGAGCTACGAGAAGAAAGTTCATTGTGAATGCCATAGTCAAAGATTGAAGGGAAGAATCATATGGAGGCAACTTAGAGAGTAGAGAGATTGAATTTTTATGATGGCAAATGCAGATCGGAAGAGGACAATCCTCTGTTTAACTGATGGAGGTGGCTGTCTGATTTTGGTTTGTCGGTTGGGGCACAACTTTATTAAATACATGGTCTTTTGATTTTACAAATCAAACTTTTTTTTCTTTTTCTTTATTTATTTTATTTTTTATTCAAATTTGGGTCATCCACGAGAAATATATCATCTTATACAACAAAAACATTTATTAGATTCAATCCCAAATCAAAGTTAAGGCGGGAGATTATGTTGTTAAAAAAACAAGGGTACTGCACAAATGGTCACTAATTACGATGTGTAGTTTTGTTGAGTATTTCGACTATTTAAAATTATACAATAATTTTTTAACTATAAAGAAACAAGGGTAGTCATGTGAGCATTTTATAATTTTTAATAGTCAAGAGATTCAAGTAAGTCTTATAATTAATGGACCATTTTAAAATTTTTAATAATCGGAGGACTTAATAAAACAATGACCTATAATCGTGGGGACTATTTGTGTACTTTGCCCAAAAAAAATTATTATTCACTGATTTTTCATTTAGTCGAGTGATGAAAATTTTGATATTATTAAATGAAGTTTTCAGATTGAGTAACTTTAGATATATATTTGGTATTTAGATTAGTTATATTTTTTTAAGTTGGTATCTAAACTAGACGTTTTATCACAAGTTAGTACTTGATTTTATTTTTTGCTGGACACTTGACTTTTACATTCGAAGGTTTTAAGCATATCAGGTTAAGTTTTGTGTAGATTTGCACGATGGCTAGTCAAACATTTCCTGGTCAAAATAGAATGTCAAATTCTAGCTTTGGTCCTTCTACTATTCTCAATTTTGAGATTTGGTTTATTTACTTTAATACTAGTAATTAGGCCATCCGCTCTTGCAATATTATTAGTTGGTCCAAATAGGTAATAGCATCGTTAACTATTTTGATTAAAATATAATCTTGATTTTTCCTCTTAAAAACACCCTTTCAATTAAGGGTGTAAACGAGCCGAGTCGAGCTCGAGTATCGTTGAACTCGACTCGACTCGAAAACTCTCGAGCTTAAAAATTTTAAGCTCGACTCGAACTCGAAATCTTGAATTGAAGCTCGTGAGCAGCTCGAAAATGCTCGAAATAAAAAAAAATCTTAAACTTAACTAAATTGAAGCCTCAAACTCGAACCTGAACCTTAAATACATGAAAGTCTTACTGTATTTTTAAAAAAAAATCACACATAAATGTTAATATTATTAATAATTTATTTAAAAAAATATAAAATCTTAATATATTATATTTTCGAGCTGCTCACGAGCTTTTCTAGTTGAGTATCAAGTAGCTCATTTCAACTCGTTAAGAATTCGAGTCGAGCTCGAGCTCGAGTCGAGTCCATTCGATCCGAGTATTTATCGAGTCTTGAACGAGTCGATCTCGAGTAACTCGCGATCTGTCTTGTCTCATTTACAACTCGAGTGGAGCCACTCGGGCGACATGAATGTCAGTTAACACAACTTTAAGAATTAAAGGATATCAACATAAGCCTTATTTATGTAAGTTTTGATACCGTAATTTAAATTTTTTTGACTTCACTCCTTTTCCCAATTCAACATTCTAACATTGATCTTTTTATAATGTCTTCCTTTTAAAACAACTCATCATTTTAATGGAAATAATTAATAGTATTACTTATTTGGACTAGTTAACAAAAATATCTAAAAGTAAAGAAAATGCACTACGTAAAATTAAAATTGAGAGACCAAAATCAAAATTCAGAATAACAAAGGGAACAAAATCAGATTTGACCTAAATAGAATAAGCTTTTGATTTTTCTCCTTTCTCTGTCTTCGCCTCTGTTAAGCAACAGTCGGAGAATCTCCCGGAAATTTTCTAGCAGGAAAATAGATTCACATTACACTTTACTTATAAAAAAATTAAATTTCTGGGTATCAACCCAGAATTCATCATCGAAATTTCCTGCCCTACCTGCATCGGCTTCAAATAAAGAATAAGTATTTTTTTAAATGTAATTTTATTGAATTTATGACCTTATTACAAAAGAATATTCATTCGTGTCCCTGAATAATTGTAACAAATCAAAAGAATTTCACAACTTATTTGGAGATTTCCCCACAAAAAATGATTGATTTTTGAAGAAAAAACATTAAAAAATAGTAATTAAGGCTGAAATTTTAATGCCTTACACAGTTAAAGAATTATCTTCATTTTTGTTGACGGCCTTCCACGATATATGTAGCCTTTTTGCTTGAATTCTCAGCTTCCAGTTCCACCAAGTTCTTATTAACAGCGTCGGTTGCAGTATTTAAGAAACCCGACCAGTCCCTACATATCCAGAAGCATAAAAAAGGTTGTGTCCAAAATGCAATTTTACCATCATATTCACTAATATATATTTTTTTCAATTTTAGAGGGACATTAGAAGCAATTTCATACCCTTGTAAAGCATCAAATGCAAGACCAACGGTGTATTTAGCCTCCTGAAGTGCCCAACCAAATCTGCGCAGTTGCTCGGTGGAATGAGTCCCGTAATCCACAACTTGAAGCTGCGATGGTTTCACATCACAAAACACCGGTATAACCCTTTTCTTGCTCTCCATCAACAGCGCAAGCTCGTGTAGGCAAAAGTACGAATCACAATAATTGGGTGAAAAGATGGCCACGCCCAGCTTACAGCTCCGTATTGCGGGGTCGATCTTCCCGATCAGCTTGTCGCCGGGCTTCATGTTCATGCTATCGAGGAAAGGCCTTAGCCCCAGCCTTAATAAATGGTCGTGCAACAACCCGGCAATGGTCCTTTTCGTATCGGTCCCTCGATGGTTGATGAAGATATCGCAGAGGGGCAGCGTGCTCGCTCGGATTGCGCCTTGGGGTTGAAGGATTTTGCGGCACAGGTTTTTGGCAGATGTAGCACAACGTTGCTGCATGATGATTTTTTCCTTCCTTAGAGAAAGCTAAAAACAAAGAGTGATGTGTTGTTGATTGAGAAAATACAGCTTGAGAGTTATGCCTCTCTCTCTATATATATTAAAATTTGATTATTTTGTGACCACTTTGATTTTCAAGCTATGAATTTTATAATTTTCTTGGGTATTTTGTTTGAAAAAAAAAACAAAAATACAAGAAAATTAGGAAGCACAAAGGCTTGTTAGCTTGACCCCTCTATGCTTTTTTTTGCCTATTTAGTACGTAAAATCCTTCAAACACGTTTAATGTCTATACATATTTTTATTTAATTTTGAAGCAGTCTCTCCGAGGTTATTGAATATAATACTAAAATATTTATAATTAATTGGACCAAAATTGAACATTGAAATATTCTTCTCTTCCTTTTCACTTTTTTTAGTTTTTTTATAATTAGTAGTATCTAATTCATAAATCGATTAATCCAAATATTAAGGGGTGTATATGAACAAAGTGTTCAGTGAATTGTTTGTTTACTAAAATAAATAAACAAGTATGAACAAATTTTTTTATGTTCATTTAATAAATGAACGAACACAAACATGTGTGATTAGTTCGTTTATGTTAGTGAGCAAGCTCGTTTATTTATGTTCATGAACAAACTTATTTATCCCGTTCTCTTTTTCCTTTTAATTTTTTAACATTTTAAATATTGGTGAAGTAGGAACTAAATTGAACACATGATAAAAGTTAAAATTTAAACTATGAGTTTTAAAGAGTTTAAGCACTAGTGGCATAATTTTATATTTTTTTGTTAGCTTGCAAATGAAAGGTAAAAATAAACACTAAACGAATATGTTCGCGAACACTAAATGAACAAATTCGTGAATATATAAATAAACTTGTCCGTGTGCATTAAACAAACATACTTGCGAATAATAAATAAATGAATACGAACACCTTAAAGAATAAATAAATGAACACAATATTAAAAATTTAAACGTATACGAATCGAATATAAATACTTTAAAAAATAAACAAATGAACATAAAGATAATTATAAATTTTATGTTAGTCTTATTATGTTACCATCAACAATAACGGTTACCAATTATGTATATCCTAATTTTGACCATTACATCTAAGGATATAGGTATGGGTCGGACTAAATTTTTAACTTACCTGAAACTAGGGGTGTGCAAATCCGGGTACCCGGATTTTTGGGTACCCGATTCTTGGGTACCCGAAATTTCCGGGTCGATGATTTCTCGGCCCGTGTCCCGACCCGGATGTTACGGGTGCCCGGTAATCGGGTACCCGATACCCGGTTTTTAATTTTTTATTTTTAAATTATTAATTTAAAAAAATATATACACAAATTTAAATGTTCGAAACTTCGAATTACATACTCTAATATCCGAACATAAAATTTAAAAGTTCAAAATACAAAATATAATAATCCATAATATAAATAATTCATTCTATTTTATATAATTATATATATATATAAAAAAACTACCGGGTACCCGGAAAAACTAGATTTTGTGACCCAGGCCCGACCCGAGAAATGTCGGGCCGGGTACCCGACCCGGCCGGGTAATTTTTTTAGAGAATTACACGATTTTTTATATCCGGGTCGGCGGGTCGGATCAACCGGGTCGGGTAATTTAAAGAGATATTTGATTTGATTTTTGAATAAAATTAATATTTGATTTGATCAAATATATATATATAATTCTTATTTTTATTCAGTAATAAAGAGATCTAATTGAAAAGTATAGAGAGATGATTATTATTGTAATTGTTCTTAAATATATAATGAATTATTATACTATTATCTCGGGTCAAAGATTTTTCACCTAAACCCGAATTCAACTCAACCTTATCCTTCAAAAAACATGACTTGGTCTATATATGAATTTTCAAAGAAAAAAGATTCGATCATATAAGATCAGATCAGACTAAAATATCGTACTCATCCCTAAATACACCAAGTTTAATTGAAATTATATAATCGAAAGAACATTGCTTAATTTACCTTTTTTTAGTTAAATGTGTCTCATTGATTAATCAATGAGTACTGCATAGACCTATTAAAAGGATCATCAATCAAATTTAATTTACTCCACTTATAATTTAAATTCAAAATTTTCATCTTGATTAAAAATTTAAAATTCCATCCCATAAAATTAACTAATTAATTTAGTAGTACTTAATTCACTCATTTAGACCATGTATTAATAATATTTTATAATTGAATTATCACACATATATTATCATAAAACTAATTACCAACTATGCAGAAAGTGGACACATTTCAATTATATAAAAAGAGGAATAAAAATTGAGAGTTTGCCAATGAATCCAAAGATCAGTACAGTATGAAATATTGACAGAAAACGGTGAACATGATGAATAAGGTCAAAATAATATTTTAGGTAGCGTTTTATCGTAAATGTTTAAAAAATAATATTTTTGATAACGTATTTCTTTAATCGTATATTAAGATTAGCGTAAGACATCTGAGATTCATGGCACTGTCCAAGGATGAATATTAAAATTACAAATTTGGTACAAAAGTACAAATCAATTGGTCCATGACGCATAATAGTTTAAGGTTGTAACATTTCTTCGCTATCACTCGAATGCTTGAGTTCCAAGATAAGCTAAACTTTATCCTGCATGGTGGTTAGTCGATAAGGTTAGTGTTTATTTTTTAAATTTTTTATAGGTGTTCATAAATAAGTGCGCAAATAAATGAATTATTACTTATGATTGCAGGTGTTTATCCCTGTTTTGGAACATCGTCATTGGCTTCTCGTCCAACTTCAGCTCCCATCCCTGAAGATAATAGTATATGACAGCATGATAAATTACATATCACTGTCTGATTTGAGAGATATTATCAAGGGATAGAGCTCTCATTTGGCTAAATTCTTGGATGGGATTAATTATTGGACTCATTCTAGACACAAGAAGCCAAAGAAGTTCAATGTCACAGTTGTCAGAGACGAGACCGCGCCACAACAATCGCCGGGAGCCAGAGGGGATTGTGGTCCTCTCGTATGTATGTACTTGGCACGTTTGACGACGGGAAACACAGAGTTTCTACCTCCCACCGGTAGAGATAGAGTTGCAGTAGGCTTGTGGTTTCGTCATTATATGGCTAGAGCGATATATTCGAGACGCTGCCTACCTGTATCCGTGTTATGAAAGTATCCATTGTTAATTGGTAAGTCAAATGCAAGTTTTGTTAACATATATACTCCTTTTGGGTTGAAAATGTTTGGTTAAGTACCTAGAATTCAATAATTTGCTGTTTGTAGGTTTTAGATGTGTAGGAAGTCTTGTTTGAGCAAATGTTTGGTTTCTGTAGGTTAATCCTTAAGTGAGCTGCGTGAAATGGATGTACGGGTGCAAAAGTTGATTCATTGATTCAATAATTGATGAGGAAATAAGAATTATTATTATTTTTTGATTGTTTAATTGATTTGTAAAAAATGATTTGTAAATGTTAATTTGTTTAATTGATGTGTACATAATTCTTATTTGTGCTTGTTTAATTGATTGAAATGTAATAGTTGATTTGTTTATTTTCAATCTGCATTATGTTGAAGGCAAAACAGACTATCGCAACACGAAATTGACTATCACAAAGAGAGAATCGCAATGCGAAATGAAAATCGCAATGCGAAATGAAAATCGCAACGAGAAAATCGCAATGCGATTTTCATTTCGCATTGCGATTTTCTCGTTGCGATAGCCATTTTCGCGTTGCGATAGTCATTTTTGCGTTGCGATTTCCCCGTTGCGATAGTCAAATGAATGTCTAATAAGTGATAACAACTGAACAGATCATAGCAATGTTCAAACTCAAGTTACTAATACATGCCTAACTGAAAATGTTAAAAGTGCACACATAAAATACACATAATACAACGTTTGCATTTAAAAATCACCTAAGTTAACAGTCCCAAAAGGTGAAGCCGGTTGTGATTGGGATGATTTTGAAGATGATTGCGATTTAGATTGCCTTTTGCTTGACACATATGAGCTTTGGATTTTGATGAGGATCCATATTTTGGTAGAGGAAAAGATGATTGTGATGGCACTGGTGAACCACATGTCAACCTTGTATGACCACTTTCCTTGCACCGACTACATGTCGATCTCTTCTTCTCTTCACCCTTAGACGGTATACGATCGTGACTTTTTGGTCGGCCAGGTAGCCTTCTGTCCATGGCTGGTGGCAAAACTGTTTGTAAGTCATCTGGTATGTCCCACTCAAAAGGATGTTGCGAAACTAAAACCTGTTGCGAACTTTGAAAATCGCATTGCGATTCTGTATTATCTCGTTGCGATAGTCAGAATCTCGTTGCGAAAGTCAGAATCGCGTTGCGAAAGTCAGAATATCGTTGCGAAAGTCAGTATCGCGTTGCGATTTTGTATTATCGCGTTGCGATAGTCAGTATCGCATTGCGATTTACTTATTCGCATTGCGAATTGGGAAAATCGCAACGCGAAATTGGAAAATCGCATTGCGATAGTCATAATCGCGTTGCGAATCTGGAAACTGATTTGCGATAATAGAGATCGCGTTGCGAATTAGCGATCGCATTGCGATTTTGTTGGTCATTTTGGCAAATCCGGAAAAAGTTTGTTAAAATCGTATATTATATGAGATTTTTGGTCACTGAGGTTATTTTCTCTTATAAATTTTATGTTAGTCTTATTATGTTACCATCAACAATAACGGTTACCAATTATGTATATCCTAATTTTGACCATTACACGTAAGGATATAGGTATGGGTCGGACTAAATTTTTAACTTACCTGAAACTAAGGGTGTGCAAATCCGGGTACCCGATTTCCGTGTACCCAGATTTTCCGTGTCGATGATTTCTCGGCCCGTGTCCCGACCCGGATGTTACGGGTACCCGGTAATCGGGTACCCGATACCCGGTTTTTAATTTTTTATTTTCAAATTATTAATTTAAAAAAAAATATATACAGAAATTTAAA